CACAGGCCCACTTGGAACAGTCAGAATCGACGTGCAATGCAAGTAAATTGCCCTGGTAAACGAAAGCAAAACGACACAGTTGCAGTGTTCGATTTGTCCAAATCTCACCAACCCCCTCCAACCCTGCGAAAAAGGACTCTATATATCACTCTCACTTGAATTCAGATCTTTCCACCAGACCCAAACAGGGAAAAAAAACCCCTTTTTCTTCTCTTTCCTTGTAAAGCTTTGAACTTTAGCCATGGCAGCAACGGCTTCAACTACCCCGAGCTCCTTCATATTCCGGAAGACACCCAAGAACCAATCTTTTCTCAAACCCGAATCCATTTCCGTCGCGCTGACGGCGAACAGGTTGGCGAAACCAATCTCTCTTTCGTGCTCGGCAACGGCGGCGAGTGCTACCCAAATCCAAGATCGACCCCCGATCCAGAACCAGTCCCAAGATCGGGTCTTTAACTTCGCAGCGGGGCCTGCCACCTTGCCCGAGAATGTTCTTCTCAAGGCGCAGTCGGAGCTCTACAACTGGCGCGGATCCGGGATGAGCGTTATGGAAATGAGCCACCGCGGGAAGGAGTTTACCTCCATTATCCAGAAAGCTGAGGCGGATCTCCGTGCGCTTCTCAAAATTCCGGAGGATTACGCGGTTTTGTTCCTCCAGGGCGGTGCCACCTCGCAGTTCGCTGCTATTCCATTGAATCTCTGTCAGGCCGATGATACGGTTGATTGTCTGGTTACTGGGTCTTGGGGTGATAAGGCTTTCAAGGAAGCACAGAAATATTGCAAGCCGAAGGTCATTTGGTCTGGAAAATCTGAGAAATATGTGAGAATTCCGGCTTTTGATGGTTTGGAGCAGAGCCCAGACGCCAAGTATTTGCATATATGCGCCAATGAGACCATTCATGGGGTTGAGTTCAAGGACTACCCTGTTCCCAAGAATGGACTTCTCATAGCTGATATGTCTTCCAACTTCTGTTCAAAGCCTGTTGATGTGAGCAAATTTGGGTTGATTTATGCAGGTGCCCAGAAGAATGTAGGACCATCTGGTGTCACCATTGTCATCGTAAGGAAGGATGTGATTGGAAATGCCCGAGACATCACTCCTGTGATGTTTGATTACAAGATCCATGCTGAGAACAATTCGTTGTACAACACCCCTCCTTGCTATGGGATTTACGTGTGTGGCTTGGTCTTTGAAGATCTTCTGGCGCAGGGAGGATTGGAGGAGGTTGAGAAGAGGAACAAGAAGAAAGCGGAGTTGTTGTACAATGCAATTGATGAGAGCAAGGGATTCTACCGGTGCCCGGTTGAGAAATCCGTGAGGTCATTGATGAATGTGCCGTTCACATTGGAGAAATCTGAGTTAGAAGCAGAGTTTATAAAGGAGGCTGCGAAGGAGAAGATGGTGCAGCTCAAGGGACATAGGTCGGTTGGTGGGATGAGGGCTTCTATCTACAATGCTATGCCTTTGGCTGGAGTGGAGAAGTTGGTTGCTTTCATGAAGGATTTCCAAGCACGGCATGCTTGATTTTCATGCCTGGTGTTGGCGTATTTTTTGAAGTTATGTTCTGCTATTTCATTAGCTGGTGTCCATCATACCATCTTAGGTTGAAGTTGCTGTTTTGTTTGGATGTTTCTGAATTATGTTCTGTTTTGATCTTCCTCTGGAGGAGGGTGATGAAATTGAAGAAGATGTTAGACTCAAACAAGAAAATTTCAGATTTTAGCAAAGAGTAATAAAGTTTAGTTAATAAATTCTTTAACGTGCACCGAGTGTTGGAACAGGTCCTGCTCCATGTTTGTTGGTGCTGTAAGTCTGTAACATTCAATGCCATTGTGCAGAAATGAAATGATATTTGTATGCTATTACATGGAGGAAGAGGATGCTATTGAAATCACTTTAAATTAGAATTTGAAGTCTTCGTGAATATAAATATTATCCATATGGGGCTACTGTTAACGGCTGAAACCTGATGGGCGGGAAGGAGTTTGGAAAAGGCATAGTTATCTCTTGTTATATAATTCATTATGAAAAATATAATATGCATTTCACTTTACATTGAACTGGGAAAATCAATTTGGAAATCTGAAAAAAAAAAAATGACTCTTTGCAAGGCTTAGTGGCTGCGCCAAATTTTCATCTCCTTGATTTACTGATACTTGAGTGCATACCATTGAATCTCCTATGTTCTTTACAATATTGATAATCAAAGAATTGATGGATTTAGTGATACAAAAAGAATGCTACAGTGTGATGGTGCCAAATTGCCAATTGTAGGCACGCAGGCAAGATGGTTGAAGCTGGGGAGTAGCTGTGAGAGGTCATCTCATTTAACAAAAGAATATTTAAAGCTTCCCCTCACAATACAACTATGAAAATGAAAATCTTGAGAAAAGTGAAAGAGCT